TAAAGGCCAAGGAAATGAAAAGGCCTTTTCGACAGAAAGACTAGGTTAAACCAGAAGCCTTGCCTTAGCTGCAGCAATCTCTCTAGGATTCAAAAGCCAGGGCACTAAGCTACTGCCAAACAGAAATACACCTAACTCCACGCTAACCCTGGCTTTCTGAGTGGCACTCAAGCAACAGAGTTTCCTCGGCAACCCCAAAAGAAGTCATCCATTTTACATAATCCTGTAGTAAACAGCTTCAGTATTTACTGTCTGTTCTGCCTTGGCCAATTCTGACAGCGTAGTTCACAAGCACCAAAAAAACAAGCCACAGTTGAGAAGAAGACAGGCACAAATCAGTTTTTGATTAACAGATTTCTTCATCGTTTGTTTGCAATTCTTATTTTAAACATTTAGACAATAATACATTTTCCATTTCAAACAGTAAAGATGCCATCCCACTTGTGCAAACACTAAACAAAGCATATTGAGGCACAAAGAAGCCAGAAGGAATTCAAGTCACAGTCAAAGTAATTTGGAAGATGCATTTTTTTCTAAGTCATAGAGATCTTTTACATTATATTAAAAATAAACCAATTTTCCCATCCGCACAGATTAAACCGCTGACTTGCCCATATATACATACCAAGTAACGAGATAGCAGTTTATGGTTTTTTTGGGTAATTTTTCATAAAAGATGACCATTTTCTATAAAAACTAGTCCTTGAATGCTTGAAATCTATGTACCTTCCAGATAAGTAACTATTATTTCAGAGAAATTCATTTTTTTAAAAAATAAAAATATATAAGTTTCTCTATACTACCTAATGGCAGCTAAAATATAATGATAATTTTACAGTGAACTGGTCATACAAAGAAAAATATTTTAAATTGTTTCTCTATAGATAATTTCAATTAAAAACAACAAATCCAAAGTATGTCATATTTTAAAAGAACTGGTCTATAGCTTAAGAAAGCAAACTAGTGTTAGAACACTGCAGACACTCCTGCTGACATCGCACTGAATAATTACAACTTTTGGTCTTTGTTACAAATGCTGTAGAAGTATTTCTATGAAAAAAGTAATGTTCTCCCCATACCCAAGAAATTAAAACAGTAAGCTGTTTTTAAAAAAAAGGTGTTTTAAGAGGCATTTCTTTTAGCTTGCATGATATAGCCTTTGGACTTGATAATTCCTCTGCTTTTAACAATGACTGAATATCGGAGAAGCCATAAAGGAATCCACTCGTGCGCTTTCGTGTTCTGGATGCTTTCCTGAAGAACTTCTTGGAAACTTTCTTCACAAAGTAATTCTGAAGTTAAAAAGGGATATTCATGCTTTAAATAATGTCATGTAAACAGCTGCAAAAAGCAACACTTAGTAAGAGAAACCCTTTCCTACAGTCAAAAATGTTAAGCAGTGCTAGACACTCCACAGATCCACTCCTCCAGAATGCAGGCAGGGTAAAAGCACCTGAATATTACAGAAGAAATCTCCATAACACTTTTTTTTTGCAACATCGAGTATTTCCCACAAAACTAATTAACTGAGATTTCTACAATATCAAATGGAGTTGATCAGCAGAGCCCTTAGCAGAAAAAAAAAAAAAAATCAAAATTAATTTTGCGAGGCCAGCTAGACAAAGCAGAGGCGAGTAAAGCATACGGCTGAAGTTAGCAAAGTACTAAGCATTGTCAGTCACCTCTGCAATCCCTGGAAGCTCAACATTTACAGCATCTCCCATAACTGGAGTCATAACCACCACGAGCCCAGAAAGCATTAAGAAAAATGGGCTTAAATGCCACAGAGCAGAAAAAGAAGGTGAGTACAAATCCTCCTCGTTTCCTCTGGAAAGCCAGTCAAGGGAACAATCTCTTTGGTGAGGAGTGCTCCCAGAAGAGTCTCAATGCTCTTCAGCTGACCACTACAGAGAAGTTAAGCTTAGCAAACAACACATAAGGGAATCACTACGTGCTTTGTTTCCGATCCAAATCCTCTTCTCCTTCATTTCATGACTCTCAATAGAGAGTATTTATTAAATTGCACGTTGCACTTTGGACTTCAGAGGACATGGAAACAGTCGGATTGAATGGCAATTCGTCTTGTGTGCTGCCAGAGCAGTGCTGATCCATGCTCAAGCACTGATGAAATTCATTAGTTCTAGCAGTGGTACTGTAAAGCACATATTTCATAAACAATGTTTCATAAACTTTTTTCTTGGGGGGGGGGGGCATGGGCATGGTGTGGGAAGGAGAAGGAAGCAAAAGCATGATCATCATGAGTAGCTCATTATAAGGAAGAACATAGGGAAGGAATGAACTAGATATCGTTTAAGACTTCTTGCTTACAGTTCCAGCAAGATATTTAAAGTGTCATTATAGTGAAGAAGATTAGATGATGTTAGAGAGAAACTAATATAGTATTGCAGAATATTCTAGAGAGTTGGTAACTGTTCTAGAGTCTAACGGAAAGCCTGCAAGTCCTTCAATCATTTAGTAAATGCATCACTGTACAAAACAAGAATTTACACCAACTGTTTTTGTAATAATGTTATTTTAAGAAGTCACTACTTTGAAAGAATCCTGCTTAAAGCATAGTAATTTTACATGTCTAACATTACCAGACTACTCAAAAATCAACTGACCATCAACATTTCTATGCAAGCTATTTCACAGACAAGTTCAGAGCAAGTGGACTTTCATTTGTCATTTACTGGCCTTCAGCAATACAACTGTCATTTCATTCTATCTTTTGTGAAAATAAGATTTTTTTTTTTTTTTTAAACACATGTAGTACAAATTTCTCAGTAGTTTATTCTTCTGTTTACTTTGTTTTCTCTGATTAAAATTATTTCAATAAACTATCCAAGGCTGGAAGATTGCCTCCCCCGCCTTCTTGAAGCAAAAGCAGGAACTTAATAGAAATATTTTATAGAGGAGAAACTTTTAGAATCCTTGGTTCAGGATTCAAACGTAACGAACACTGAAGCCTGGAGAAAGATTATTCCTGATTTTGTACTGAATAAATGCATTTGGAAGTCTTCTGTTAACTTATCTGGCAAAGCCTTACCTTTTGGGTCATTGTGAGTTAACAGCTGTATGTCAAACTGTTTTGCAAACGCTGTGAGATCAGGAGGCATCACACAACAGGAAGCTAGGTTCACCTGATTACTACTTGGTTTGACCTGAAAGTAACAGAACACTTCTGTAAGAACAAAAATAATTAATGGCCTTGTTTTACTTGTTTCCCCCACACCCTCTATTTCAGCAGAGATTTTGCTTTGAACAATTTGCCTTCGACCACTGTTTGGGGTCTGAACAAGGCTAATTACTTCTGCATGATGCTGAACGGGCAACTCCTACATTTGCAATTTCTGCAGCCCAAAGCCCAAAACAAGAACAGGATCTAACTTCAGGTGCTGCCGCAGCAAGTTGAGTACTAACCCATTCTGGCCTCCTGTCTGCTGTGCTTCCTAAACAGCAGCAGGGTTTTTCCCCCCCCTTGCTAGTAAAAACATTATAGGGGCATTAGTCTGAAAAAGACTTCAAATAAAAAAATCCAAATAAATTGTTAAGGATATAAAATTTGCAGTCTTCTATGCCTTCGGGTAAGTGCTTAAATCAGAGTTAAAAGGAATGCTCTTCCACTGACTCTTTCTCTGCTCATCACAAACTGCATTCATGATCACCATGCAGCTGGTCATTAATCCCCTCGCTTCTCTCAGCATACACAAAACAGCTAGGAGCACAAATCGGGAGCCTCAGCAGGACCCCTTACTGACATACAGTATGTTCACATACCACAAAAGAAGTCATAAGAGAGTAATCAAAGAACTAATAAGGAAACAGTAAATCCACAAGCTCACACGAGCATGGGCACATACTAGTACAAACCTTTGTCACTCAAATGTTAAGTGGCAATTAGTCACATTGGACAACAAAATACTGTGCTACTTCATTCACATTCCTCCTTAGATTTAAGCTTAGCATTCAAACAGCACTTTTCCAAGGGGAAATCCCTCCATTTGCAACACAGCTTGAAATGAAAACAGTGGTTTGCAGAGTCACTGGAATAAATCCGAAGGTTTAAGAGTACTGTTTGTACTCCTTCCTAATCGTATCATAGAATCATAGAATGGTTTGCGTTGGAAATGTAAAAGCATTCAAAACTCAAACCTTCGGTACTCCAAAGAACCTGCTACCAAACAGGCCTGTGGTGGGTTCCAGCCTTTGCTGTTCTGTACACAAGAGCACCGAACAAGTTAGTCACACTTTGAGCCTCCCCCTTGGACAATGCTGTGCTCATCCACAAGATCCTGAAAATAACATGGCTGATTCGTATTTTGTATATAAACACATTTATAACAGAGCCTTCTAACACTGGCAGCCAACGAAACAACAGTTACTCTGTCCTAGAGATGCTGCAAGTAGGAAGCTTGTTCTCACCTGTGCCCACAGGTACAGCTGCTCTAACAGTGCTTTGTCTAGGTCAGAGGTACCTATGGCAACAATCTTTTTGTTTTGAACTAGATTTTCAAGTTCTTGCCAATAAGGCTGCAAATACTCCAAGGAGAGGCTAGTTCCATCTTCAACAGGAGGTGGGGCAATAATGACCGAGTCTAACTGAGCAACTCCGAGGGCAGAACATGCTGAGGAAAAAAAAAAAAAAAAAAAGAACAGAGACACTGTAAAATCTTTTGTGCTTGACTTCAAATTCAGCAAAACCCACACCTCCTGCTTCACTCTGCTAGCTTCCCATTCACCGTTTGAAACTGAGTGTATCAGCAGTCAAGGACAGTAACACAATGTTTTTAGCAAAACAACAAGCACACAGCTGAAGGCCAAGTTTCAATTGTAGGTCTTGGTGAAAAAAACCACCACCAACAACCCCCCCCCCAAAGCGTGATGCTTTTTCTCCTTTTCCATGTTCAAACTATATTTTTCTCTGAGGACAGTGGTGACATCCAATTCTTGATTCCTTCACTCTTAATTTCTATAAAAATTTGTGACTTTCATTCTGAACTGTAACTCAAAGTACAGGGCAGGGACTAGGAGAACTGTTTCATGTATATGAGGAGTTAGACTACAAGCACACCGAGTATGGAGATTTAAATTGCCAGGGAGAAGTGGCAAGTCTTGGAGTATCACTGAGCTTTAGGAAAGCTGCAAGTCACTAGGCCTCTTTTGCACAGCAAAAAGAATAAACCTAAATAGCTGAATTATTGTCTTCTGGAGGAGGATTCTATCAACGTGTTTTTAACAAATGGTATTACAACTTACAATGCAGAGGCTATAAACTGGGCTATCAATAGAAAAGAATATCTGCCCCTCTGTTCTTTGGTAAGCCCCTATGCCCAACAGTCTTCCAAAGTGGTAAAATTCAGTGCTGCTCACAATAACTGCTCCATTAGGCTAACAAAACGTTATGTATCAGTACAGCTATTGTATTTTCAATAAAACTTAACTATTTCATCAGCTGCCTGCAGCATTGTTTTATTTCCTAAATAATCCCTGAAACACAGCACAGTTAGTAACGATGCCCATCATGTTAAAAACAACTGGCAACTACCGACAACTGGCAAGAATTATTGTACCACTGTCACTAAAACACCACATGCTAGTCACTTTTTAAACAAGTTTTGTGTGAAAGAATAAAGAACTTGCTCCTGCTTGGAGCAAGGAATCAGACGTGAGTTTATGCACCCAAGGTTACAGCGACCCACATTTAACAAGTTTACTGACCAAACTAACGTGTAAATAGACTCGAGTACCTAAGTGCCTCTTAATAGGAGAACAGGACATACTTGTGACAGTCACTAAATACACCTCTTAGATGGAAAAGGTTCTAATTTTATTTCTAAGTACTGAAGCAAAAAAGAAATGCTACCAGGAATTTCACACTTACCCAGGTCAACTGCATCTCTGATCGATGAAGAGTTTGATCCAACGAGGAAAAGTTTTGCTATTTTCAAAGAAATTGGAATCAATAACTAAACAAGCCAGCTATTATTAAATATATAGCTATTTACTCTTGCGATATACACTACTTATGAGTTCTTTGGTACAGAGTTCTTAGAATATACACCAATTACTTAAAAAACTGGAAAACAACCAACCTTCTGAAAGGGGACTGCCCAATAAAGACACTGTTCTCTTAAATTTTATTGTTGTGCAGTCTCAGAAGAAGAAATCATCCAGTTAGGTAATCTGATAAGCCGTAAAGCCAGGACTTAAGCACCAAGACACTAAGCAACAACGGTAATAACCTGTATAAAAACCCCAAACGTAATAGTACAAATAGACCTCTTCAACAACTTACTGAGACTCAAAATGTACTAGTGTTAGTTTGGACTGCCTCCTTCAAGTTCGTCATATTCAACCTGGAAAAATTATGCAAATAAATGTGCTTCCAATGCTGTTTCTTAATTGCAGTATTATCTGTAATACTTTGCTTCAGAAAAGTCAGATTCACAAAATACATTGAAAATGTCTTGAGGGGATGTCAGTTAAGCTAGGAAAATGCCGAGCTGCTTGAAAACCTGAAATATGAATTCACAACTTTCTTAGCCAACTTCCAGATTACCTGAAGTATATTACATCGTGCACCGATGTCACTTAACTTTGCAATTACAAAACATGGTGGAAAAAAATGTACATATATGAACATCCTATTAATAATTGCATATGAAACCTTTTTATGCCACTGGTGTACGTTCTTACCTGATACTTTCAACTCATCCCTTTCTTCAGGATTTATTTTTTCTATAGCTTGAGCTACAGTACATTCCAGGACCTCCAGTATTTCCTGTAGTAAGTACATGAGACTTAGGAACAACTTGTCAAGAGGAGACAGTAAGCTACTGAAGAATGCTTTTAAGTAATTAAAAAAAAAAGCCTTATAGCAGTTAGAAACAAAAATAGCATAAAAATGCAATGACAGAAAGAAACCCAATGCTTCTTGATCTCTGAGGGGAGGTCAGGAAAATGAAGCCATATGAAAGGACCTATATGCCCCTAATATGAAAAGCACAAATTACTAATTAAGAATTGTTGGAATAAGATTTAGTAATGTTCTGATTTTCTCATGTGAACAGATTGATGTGCCAATTCAAACTGCCTTACTTTAAAAGAGCCTCATGACCAGCTGAAAAAAACCCACCACGTTACCAGAATTAGGGGGTTTGGGTGGCAGTATCTTTGCACAAAAGTATTTTGTAATTTCAGTGAAGCCTACGAAAAGCTTACAGTGAAAATGCTGTAAAATACAGAATTAAAACAATAATTTTGAAACTGAAAATTAGGAAAGCTTAAGAGATTTCAACCTCTGACCTCATTTAAGACTAGGCTGACACCTCATGTCAGCTGGCACAAGGTGACCAAGTCTTTACCTACATGAGATTTTGTATTACACAGACGCACACGTGACTCCACCCCCAACCAGGAACCTTTTGGTAATTTTTGCTGCCCTACCAAAAAATCCTCAATCAAGTCTGAGTTATTTCACACAGTCAGCATTTTAAACAAAAGTTTTGGGTTTTTTTAATTACTGGAAACCAATATAATTAATAAAACCATCTGGAATTATGCAGTTAACATGTTTTGACAGTATAACCTAGCTTAGACTAAAGAATTAACTTTAAATGGATCACTGCACCTTACAGACAAATGTTTATTTACATTTTCTTGAAGAATAATTAGATCTTCCATAAAGCATTTGGCAATAACTGCCTCGCCATGCTCCAGTGTGGATTGCAGCAATGTGCAGCTGATGCCACCGTTACACAAGAACTGGTAACAAAACCCAAAGAAATGGTCAGGAAAGGTTTGGTTTGTTTGTTTGGGTGTTTTGGTGTTGTTTTTGTGTTGGTTGGGTTTTGGTTGGTTGTTTGTTTTTTTTTTAATGAAACATGCTAACATTTCACAGAGCAACTAATGTACCAAGTGGGAACCTATTACTGCTTTGCTGAATTTCAGAAGCAATAGTGGAAAAGGAGCAGGCAAATACACCAAGATCTTGACATCAGATGCCCATGACTGTGGTTTCAAGTCTTCAAGCTCTTAGAATCTACAGAAGACTTTAGCTCTTAAGGGGAAAATTGCCACTTCTGCATCTTCAGAAATATTTCTGAGACAACCAAGGCTATGCTTCAGAGTTCCCCTCCACACAGGATGATCTTCAGCTATCTAGTTTATCATCTCCATAGTCTAGATAATTCTCCACTGGGTTTTTACAAGCATGCCAGCAAACTTCTAAGGTACACAGATTTTTCTTTTTTTGATTGCCCCAACAATTAACTTGACATCTTACAGACCACGACTTATTTTACTAAAAATTGTCTTATTTGCCATCAACAGGATTCTTTATTTTGGTATTTCTTAACCTCTCCAAATTTACTAAATATTAAAAAAAAAGGTTGAGAAATATTCTTTTCAGATATCTGGAGCTGAAGGACCAGGTGTGTAGCTAAGGCCTCATTGCTTCTAACCTTGTATCTATTGTTTATTTTTTTTAAGAAATAGACTAACATTTGTCAGGAAGTCAGCAAAACCTTGAAACTAACTATTCACTTTGAGGCCTGTGAATCAGTAATTAGATAAGTGGAAACCTGTGCATTTGTGTGTATAAATGACTGACAAAGGTGTCCGAGGGTGTGCTAGATTTGTGGTGAAATACCCCTAGCACCCACTAGTTTAGAGTGTCTTTATTTCAGGTAACACTTTTACAAAAATTTAATAGACTCATTTATATTTTAAAAGGTGTAACCAAGGACGTATTTCTCTGTTTTCACACGCAACACTGATAACACGCGTAACGCCTCTCCTACCTGATTTAGGTCTGGTCCAACCTTTGAGCTCCATTCAGTCAGCGTTTTCTGAATGCAGTCCCGCACCTACAAAATATTTTTTCCACACTGAAGTGAAGGTATGTTACAGCTGCACAAAAATACCGTGATTCATAGGTGTGCAGGACAGAGTGAGCTAATGACACCATTCCTTCAACCACAGAAGATTCTTCCTTCAGAACTTCCATCTGAAACTTGTTCAAACTAGTTCACTTACATATTTTCCCCTCCTCTTTCACAAAGAGTTTTAGCAGTAACACAAGTACTGTACTTCATTTATTTCTCAGACCAATGCCAGCTTTAAAGCAAAGACCAAGGCTAAGCAAGCAAGAACTGGGGTGGTTTTGGGTTTTTCTGGGTGCAGAGGTTCTTAAGTTACAGTGTGGTCAGATAACAGCGTACATGCTGTGATGTTGTTAGAAATGCAACTTTCATCAATCACCAAGTATCATTCTATTAACTTCTCTTTCCAAGAAGCCTCTGACCCTTTTCATTTACTGCCTACCTATCCCACTGTGCCAAACCACTAACGGTTTTAAGTCCTTTGTTACCTAAGGGGGAACCCTCAGATTATACCCCAAACTTGCATTTTTCCTGCATTCACAGATGAAAAATAAACTGGACTAGATTCTGACCATAGATTTTCTCAAACATAGTAAGGCATAACTATTAAGCCTAAATCAGCTAATTAACTGCGTGCTGTGCCAGTGCTTCAGCTGTACCAATGCTCTAGCTTCCCTCTGGAGATACACCTCGGAGTTGTTACCCTGCAGGCTAAGGAAACGTGCTGTCAAGACTGCTCCCTGCCACAGGCGGGAGCACTTCCACCAGCTGCTGCTTTGCTTCACTTCTAGCAATACATTTTGTAACGATGTGGGTACTTACTTTTTGTGCCTTCTGTACATTAAATAGCAATTTCTTGTGACACCTAACTTGAGTCCAGAAAGCTCATAATACCACGCACAAACTAGAAGCCATCCCCTCCCCAAAACTGGGTATCACAAAGTTTAAGACACAATACAGTAAAACAAGACTTTGTGAACACAAATCCTATACTTTTCTTCCCAGTTATTTAAAATGGCATGGAAAAAAAGAAGCCTGAGTCAAAAGGCAAGAACTGACTCCCCCGCACCAAATAGCTATCCACAAAGCTGGAACTCTTTGGCCTATTCTGATCAGCTTATACTGTTCTCTTTCCCCTTCTGAGGGAAAGTGAGATGGTGCTAAATATGTATATTCCCTATACTGCTACTTTGCAGCTGTCACCCTTTACATGTCAACTGCAGTTAGCGTGCAGTAGCCTCTGTTTCCAAAGCATGCCATTCCCCTGCCCCCAACACACATGAAAAGCACAGTGTATTTTACTGCTTTGACCGGCTCTTCCCAATACAGTTACACCCCCAAACTCCTGACATTAGCGTTCAGAGTTTGCAAAATTTTAGCTTACATTCTGCCACTGAGAACTATACACACACTAACTACACCAAATACAAGAGTTAAAAGACAATTTATTTTTTGATAATTAATGCCAATACTTTGCTTTTGGAATTCCAGCAACTCGGGAAAGCAGGCAGCCTTGAGATTTCCCTGTAAACAAGTGAATTAAATACCTTAACTAGTTATGCACACTGGCCACTCTTTATTTAACAACCCTCCAGAGACACTCACACAAGGGTGCCCATTACCATACAGCTCTCTCTTGGGTACAGAATCTAACGCTATTTCATGTCACAGAATGCTGTAATAAGCAACCAGGCCAAATAAAAAAGTTACTGCCACATGATAACAAAGTAGGATGATGAATTCTTCCTTCACATTACATCAGCCTCCCCGTGACCTTTCTTACCGCTCGGGCACAATTAATATCCAGTCAACCAATCTGGGTTATCAACGGTGCCACTACATAGCAATAACCAGCCAAAACCATAGTTCTTCATTTTATTAAACGACCATTTTCACATTACTGCGTCACAACAAGCAGTTGTGAAGTTCACAGCCACACGATCTCCAGACATTTTATCAGGATTATTCTAAGCGTTGGTACATAGCTAGACTTTTTCAAGAAAAGAGCAATGACTGACTTTCCTGAGACCTGTCACCACCAAGAAATTAATTTCAGGTTCAAAAAGAGAATTTTCATCATTTGCAACGCAAGCTCACACCTACTCCTATCTTTCCCTTGCTAAAGGGGTACCCTTGGCCATCACAGACAGCACCTGAGCTCGCAAGCGGTTTAATTCTTCACTCCCCAAGCACAGAAACACGCTCTGTTTTTTTCCCAGAGACCCAAAGACATCAAGTGCTTCCGGGGACACAGGGAGGCGGGGGGACACAGGGAGGCGGGGGGACACCCCTGGACTGCCCTGTCCGCAGCTCCGACCCCAGCACCGCCG